TCAAGGGTGGGAAATGACCTGGGGCCATAGGGAGGCAAAACAATGGGAGGGGAGATTGGGTGTAGCCACAATGAAAGACCAGTTGATGGGACTACAGCATCAGGGGAACGCCAGAGATTTGGCCATGTGGGAAAGTCCAGGGTCCATGAGGTAATAGAATTACCAAGGGTGGGAAATGCTCTGGGGCCAGAGTTTTTCCTTTCTGGGGATCAGATTCCAACCCCATCACAATGAACGTGCCTTATATCTTAGTGATACAAAAAAAAAAAAAAAATATCCAGTTCCTGCCCTCAAGGAGTTTATATTTAGGATTGAGGGAAAGCTGCAGAAACATCATTTCATCTTGGGTCGCACTGTTTAACAACTACTAAGTATTACTTGAGTTTCCAGGGATCTCAAGTTACTTAACAATACTGATTTTGCATACTGATTTTTAAGCCTATTGATTTTGCTAAAGATTAAAGAAAATTCTCTTTCAGTATTATGCCATTCAATTACTGAGAATTAACCAAACTGCTATAGCTAGTGCAGAATAAGGAAAAAGAATTCAGCTATGAGATTCCAGACTATAAGAATATATGATAATGTCAAGTCTTCATAAATTAAAGGTATGGGATTAAGAACAAAATATATTTTTGGATAGGAAATAATGCAAAGAGAGATTTATATTCTATGAATTTAGAATGTTTCTGATCCTCCCTTGTAATTGGTAAAATGTTGTACCAGAATTGGTGACATCCCTGAGAACAATGCAAACAGTTTGCTTTTGCAATTATTTTTTAAAGTTTTTTTTTGACAGTCCTCAAATAAGATGTATTTATTGTCCTTAAAATAAACTATAGTAACTAATGGATTAATAAAAGGGTCCCTAAAAATCACTCTGTTTCATGGTCTGTGAATGTAATTGTTTTAATAATATCTTTAGTGGAATGATGCAGATGACAAAGCACAAAAAGCCTCTTGTTTTTGTCCTGGTTTGACTTTTAACCAGTTATGGAGCCTTGAGTAAGTTCCTTAAACTCTTGGATATTCGTTTCTTCATCAGTTCAGTTTTCTTCAAAAGTTCCCATGTGGAGGTAAAAAGAGAAGTTAGGGAAGATGCCCAAAGAGAGTTATTTGAATGCACAGGGAACTTATACAACTAATTGGATTTTAAATGTGTGTGTGTGTGTGTGTGTGTATACACACACACACACACACACACACATTTAAAAAGATAGAAGTAAGGACAGGATGCTACAGCTGAATACAAAATCATGACAAGGTCCTGTTAGGAGAGTCAGGAAAATCCATTCTCAGAATGAGCTGAAGCTGGCAAGGAATGATAAAGACAATAGGAAGGATTTTTGGTGGTATTGGGGAAAAGAGAAAAAATAGGCCTGTTATTAGATATTAGGGTGGATAGGAGGGTGATAATGGACAGCAGACAAAAAAGGCACAATTACTTAACTCCTGTTTTGACTCTTTTTTTTCCCTCTACCAAAGAGAATAAATAGTCTGTGGACTGAGAAGGCCAGAATAAGAATGGTTAAGAGAGAGTTAAAATTCCAGATGAATAAGGATATGAGAAAAGAGAACACAGCTTCCCTGAACTTATTAGTTCAGGTTACCAGATTCAGACAAACTGCATCACAGGGTTCTGAAAGAAATGGTCAATGTAATTATTGAACCACTGTCAGTGATGTTCAAAAGATCACAGTAAATGAGGAAGGTGCTACCAGACTGAAGAAGGGCATATGTTATCCCGCTTTTCAGAAAATAGAAGTGAATCTAGTCTGTTAACTATAAGACAGGGAGTTTGACTTTAATTCAAAAATTTAAGAACAGAACAAAATTTAAGAACAGAGTTTGTTGTGACCATCTAGAAAAGGAAGTGGTAATCACAAAGTGATCATGACTTTATCAAGAAGAGGTCGTATCAGACTAACCTTTTTGTCAGGGTTGCTGGACAGCCAGATCAGGACAATCCTATAGAAACAGTTCTATAAAGTAGATTTTTAGAAAAACATTTGATGGAGGCCTTTATGCTATCTGATTAGACAAGATAGAGAGATGGACTAGATGAAAGTGCAGTTAGATGAATGTAGAGTAGATTCAATGATCAGATTCAAACAGAAGTCATTAATGGGTTGATATCAGTGTGAAAAGTAGCTTCTGGTAGAACAACTCCAGGATCTATTGTTATGTCATTGCTGTTTAACATTTTTATCAGTGACTTACATAAAGGTACATAAATGTCCTGCTTCTCAGATTTGTAGATAATGATTAACCCTGAAGATATAACTTTTGAATTGAAAGGCATAAGTTGTAATAACATCCTTATAGGCTAGAACATTGAGCCAACTTAACTCTAGAGCCATGCTACCCCTGAGGCATGACTATGCAGTTGGAAAAGATTTGAGGTTTTCAGTGGCACTTCATATGGTAGCCAAAAAAAAAACCAAAAAACCAAAAAACTAATGCAATCTTAGATTGATGATAACAACCAGTTTTTATACAGGGGCAGCTAGGTGGTGCAATGGATATCCAGAGCACCAGACCCTGGAGTCAGGAAGACTCATCTTCCTGAGTTCAAATCTGGCCTCAGACACTTACAAGTTATGTGACCCTGGGCAAGTCATTTAACCCTATTTGCCTCAAATTTCCTCATCTGCAAAATGAGCTGGAGAAGGAAATAGCAAACCACTTCAGTATCTTTGCTAAGAAAACCCCAACTGGGGAAACAAAGAGTTGGACCTGATTGAACAACAAAGCATTTACATAGTGTTTTAAGGTTTGCAAAGTGCTTTGTGTGTTCATTCAATTGATTCTTATCCCCATTTTACAGATGAGGAGACTGAAGCTAAGAAAGTTTAAATTGCTTGCCCAGGGTCACATTGAGAAGCATGTTTGGGGGTGGAGGCAAGATGGCAGAGTAAAGGCAGGGACTCACCTGAGCTGTCCCCCAAACCTCTCCAAATACCTTTAAAAATGACTCTAAACAAATTTTAGAGCAGCAGGACCCATAAAAAGGAGTGAAACAAAATTCCAGCCCAAGACAACTTGGAAGGGCAGCAGGAAAGGTCTGTTGCACCAGAGTGAGAGAAGAGCACAGTCCAGCACAGGCCACACCAGCGCAGACCCAGACCCAGCAAACCTGGAGCAGGTATAGGAGCGACTCAATCACTGAGAGCAGTGGTGGTTTCCAGACCTCTGGGCCCACAGATGCCGAAGACAATTTAGAAGGTCAGGAGGAAAGGTCTGTCATACCTGGGTGAGAGTGGAGCTCATCCAGCACACCAACGCAGCCCCAGGAAACCAGGAGCAGGCCTTGGGAATGACTGAATCAACAGTGGTAGTGGCGGCAGCAGCAGCTACTTCTAGAGCTCTCAGCCCACAGACAATAAGGAGGTCAAACAACTGGTCAGAAGGAGATTACAGGGGTCTTTTTGCTAGCACTAAGGCAGGACTCTGTTGCTTTGCCTGTACTTGGATCTGGGTCCCAGTCCTGGATGGCAGTGCCAGTGGTCACAGTGGAGGGGGTTCCCTCCTCACGGTTCCAGGGCAGGAAAAAGTGCTTCTGGTCACTCACAGACCAGAGCACAGGCCAGGAGAGGACTAACACTTCTCCTTAGATCATACCACTTTGGAGGAACTGAAAACTTACAGGTCCCTAGAAGCATCTCTGAAAATAGCTACATGAAACCCCTGAAGTTTGGGATAGTGTGCCCTTTACCCTGGAAGCAGAGCCCTAC